GTAACGACATAACATATTGACATCATATATTTGCATGGCATATTGACGTTCGAGTCATCTGTGTATTATTAACCGACAATGTTGAAAAGAAGGAAGGCATTCATTATCTTTCGGTATAGTATTGCTTTGCATAAAATATATTCGGAACAAAAATATCCTGAAAAGCATTTGTACTGGAGATGTACCGTAGAGAAATGAATGGGAACACGGCGTTTGTTTCTCGCAGCGAAGGTGTCCTAGAGTAGGCAACGGTAAACTGATACCACGTATTGAATCATATTACGGGTGACGCGCGTGTCCTCAAAAATCATCCACAGTCACCAATACTAAACCTGTGGCGACCTCTCGCTTTACGATGGAAGGGATATGAATCAGCAGCAGTCTGGCATAGGTAAGGATACAGCGTCATTCAAAATTTCAGCTCATTCGCACTGAAAGTTTTTGTTCTACGGGGTTCACCTACTCGATTTGTTCGCATTCCAAACTGTTAGTTAACAGCCCGTGTTCATGAAACTTGCATTGTCTGTGGTGACATACGAATACGATGCAACGTCTCTGAGCAGTATCGCTCGAACTTGGAACAGGCAATAACTAGCGTATGGTATGAGGCAACACGCGGCTTGTAGATGCGAATCTCCACCTGCTTTCCCCCACGTTCCATTGGACGCGCCTACCGTACACCCGCCTTCAACGCGAGTATATCATCCGCCGCTATTATTCGGCTCCCGCCCCCGCCCCCGCCGCCCCCGGGCCAGGGACCACGTCCGCTCTGCTTCGGCCGGCGGAAAAGCTCGGCTGGCAGGTCAAAGCGCCGCGCGCGGCCAGAGATCAAACCCGAGCCGTCCAGAGCGGCGGGGGACCGAGCGAGGAGGGCCCGCGCAGCGCCCCCTGGCCCCGCCCCCTGCCCCCCGCCCCCCCTCTTCCGAGCCCCGCGCCGCATCTTCTCTGCTCTCCCCGAACCTCTTTTTACGGGCTCCACGCATTTCTTTTTCTTCCCGCCCCGCTCAAACAGCCTACGCCTCAACATCAAACAAAACTCCAACTTTTGCCACTTTCCTTCGCAACTCCGTACTACCTTCTCCCGCGTTTGGCCTCAATCTCCTCACCCAGGTTTCGACTCCCCTCCCCTCACTTGGCATCACATCCCTTCTTCGGTCTCACCTCTTCCCGCTTCGGCTTCGCCACTTCTGCTTCGCCTTGCCTCTCCCTGTTCGCCTCGCCGCTCCCATTAGCACCCCGTCTCGTTTACGCCCGACCACACCTCTTTCCCCGAATCTTAGTGTCGCCTCGCCTCTTCCCTCCGACCCCGCTTCGCCCTCATCCGATCTTCCCAACTCGCCTTGATGTTGGAACACCGCCACGCTGCCCCACTCCAGCCGCGCTCCACCTCCCCGCCGGGCTTTCGCTGCAGCGGGCCCGGACCCCGCCCCAGGTAGAGGAAGGGAGGCGGACGAAGCGAGCGGGGGTGTGGAGGAGGGGCGATGGACTCAAAGTTGGCCGTCCCGAGCATACGCCACACTCACACATCGGGCGCGCGCTCCGGCGCTGCCGCTCCCACATGCGCCGCCGCCGCCGCCCCGCCGCCTTGCACTGCTGAGCGACGCGCGAGCGCGCGTGGCCTCAGGCCCCTCGCCTCCCGGCCGGGTCACCACCCGCCGCCCAACGCCCTATCGAAGCCCGTGTTTTGCCGACCGGCCGCAGGTTGGGTGAACACAAAACGCCAACCCGGCCTCGCTTTCCCGACGCGCGGCCGCTCGGCTCGCGCTCTTTCCCATGCAAAAACTGCGCTCGCCGCCCGCCCGCCGCCGAAGGCCGGAGGCCCTCACACCCGCCTTGTAGTCGCTTTCGCTGCCGCCCCTTCGCCTGCCCTTCGCACCCGCCCCGCCCCCGAAACCATCCCCACCCCTCGCCGCTATCGCCCTTCACGCTCGCGCTCTCCACTCGCCCTTCTCCACTCGCCCCCTCAACTCACCCCCTGACTCGCCCCCTCACTTCACTCCCTCACTCGCCCCCTCACTCGCCCCCTCACTCGCCCCTCCACTCGCCCCTCACTCGCTCCCTCACTCGCCCCCCTCACTCCGCCCCCCTCACTCGCCCCCCTCACTCGCCCCCCACTCGGCCCCCGCCACTCGCCCCCCTCCACTCGCCCCCTCACTCGCCCCCCTCACTCGCCCCCTCACTCCGCCCCCTCACTCCCGCCCCCTCACTCGCCCCCTCACTCGGCCCCCCTCACTCGCCCCCTCACTCGCCCCCTCACTCGCCCCTCACTCGCCCCCTCACTCGCCTCCCTCACTCCGCCCCTCACTCGCCCCCTCACTCGCCCCCCTCACCTCGCACCCCCACTCGCCCCCTCACTCGCCCCCTCACTCGCTCCCCTCACTCGCCCCCCTCACTCGCCCACTCACCTCGCCCCTCTCACTTCGCCCTCTCACTCGCCCCCTCACTCGCCCCCTCACTCGCCCCCATCACTCGCCCCCCACTTCGCCCCCCTCACTCGCCCCCTCACTCGCCCCCTCACTCGCCCCTCACTCGCCCCTCCACTCGCCCCTTTACTCGCCCGCACTCGCCCCTCACTCGCCCCCTCACTCGCCCTCTCACTCGCCCTCTCACTACGCCCTCTCACTCGCCCCTTTCAAAAAAAAAAAAAACTCGCCCTCTCCACTCGCCCTTCTCACTCGCCCTCTCACTTCCGCCCTTCTCACTCGCCCTCTCACTCACTCTATCATTCGCCCCCTCACCTCGCTCCTTCATCACCTTTTTCGCTCACCCTCTCACACATCTTCTTCCATACCTTATTGCCTCTCGCAGGCTCGCCGTCGGTCGTCCCCTGGCGTTCGCCTTTGCTCTTCTTCTTCACGACACGATGCCTACTTCGCACTCCCCGCGTGTCTTCGCACTCCCGAGCACTCAGTCGCCTTCTACGAGGCTACCCTGTATTCCATTTGTTCCGGTAAAGCTAAGGATGCGACGTTTTTAATTTTAAAACAAAAAATCGATTATTTTATACGATTAATTGAATTATTTTTATACGTATTTACAATTTGTTTAGAAACCTAGGTCCGATTGAGGTGCTGGGCTGATGGGAGCAAAGAATTCTACTGTTCGGCTGCTCTGACCGCCGGAAGTTTCCTGAGGTTTCACCAATCAGTACGGAGGAAACGCCGCTTCGCGAGATATTTCCTTTCTCCATCATCGCCCCTTCTCATGTCTTTAGACACACAAACGCACTTTACATTTGCACTATTAGTATCTCCATTATGCCGCTTGGAGAATCAGTCGGCGAGCTTTGAACTTTTCCGGTTGGGTGGAAGGCCCAACTGGGGAAGGATACCTAGCGTGGTTAAACATCGCAAGCTTAACGTATGAAGATGGCACCGGATCTCACGTTTTAGCGGCGGGAGGAACATCACACCACCATTTTTCCTGCTATTAACATTGCCAACTACCACACGGAGACTTCATGAATGAAGTACCTTGACGCACCCAGAAATATTGAAATAACTCACTCGACACAAAGCTGGTGGATCCTCACCACTTCCCGGCCCCGTGCCTGCCTCTCCCACCTCCCTTTCCGCCCCGCCGTTCTGGGCCCTGTCGTTGTTTACGCCTCCAACGCCCACAACCCCTCGTCTCCATTCCAGTCTCCCTTCCAGTCCCCCGCCGTTATTCCCGTTCGGTGTATGGCCATCTCAACCACTGCCGCTCTGCAACCCAGTCTCTTTCTCGCAAGCTTAATTCCTTGTTCCCGCCGCTTTGCCGCCCTCGTCCCGCTCTCCGCTCCCCCCACCCCTCCTTGCGACTCCCTCCGAAAGGCCAAGGCGAAGCGGGGGACGCCAAAAACAACGCCTCTGCGGCCCCCGGCCCGCCCCCCGCCCGGGGCCCCCGCCCGGGGGCCCGGCCCCGCCCGCGCCTTCCGCCCCCCCGCCCCTTTCCCCCGCCCCCCTTCCCCGGGCCCCCGCCCCTTCCCACCCCCGGGCCGACGGGCAATTTCTTTCTTTCTTCTG